ACGGGGTGGCCATCGAACTGGTCCACCACGGCCAATCCATCGGCCCGTAAATGTCCCATCCAAGTAATTGCGGACCCGCACTTGGTTATGGGCTGGTGCACCATCATGCTGGAACCACATGCGATCACGAACGACAGCCGGAACATTCTGCAGCAATTCCGGTAGCACCTCTTGCAGAAAAATATGACGACATAAGCCATTTGTACGTGCAGCTAAGAAATATAGGTCTATGAGGTAGTCGTTAACAATACCCGCCCACACATTCACGGAGAAGCGGGTTTGGAATGCATGTGGACGTGTGCCGTGTGGTTTATGAGTTGCCCAACGTGCATATTGTGGCTATTGAAGATGCCGTCCTGTGAAAGTTGCCTCGTCCGCGAATAGCACATCCGAATGGGAAATCTGCCTGCGCCGCACACTGCTGCAAAAACCAATGACAGAAATGAACTCGAAGATGGTAATCTGTCTCTTGCAAGGCTTGGACTCTCTGCAAATGGTATGGATGCAAACCATTTCCATGCAATACTCTCTAAATGGTGGAATGACTCAGCTGAGACTTGCAGTAGCTCTTGTACTTGTCTGAGGTGATTCATGCACAATGTTCAAGATGGATTCTCCAATGCGAGGTTGTCGTGCACTTCTTCCACTCCTAGTGTCAGAGGTGGCTTCAAATGACCCGTTTTCACACAGAGACCGATGCAACCTCCCGAACATTGTGTGCTTCGGCATGCGCCGCCTGTTTCGGAAACCGTTCCTGGTACAACCGTAGCGCTGCTCTGCCGTTCCCATTAGCAGCACCATACATGAGATGCATGGAAGCTTTTCCCTGTGCGTAAACTCACCCATCACGCTCGACATCAGAGTTGCGAATGATCCTCTGATGCATCGGATCGTAGTTTGTCCAGCTCACTACCGCCCTGTACCGCTGCATTGCCAGCCCAATCACAGTTCTAGTTCCTATTACTGTTAGTGTTCCCTTTTTTCAACATTTATTGTGAATACTGTATTGCTGCAAAGAAGCACTTCGCGTTAATTTTGTACATAAAACACATTTTCCTCTCGTGTCGTGTTTTTTTTTTTTTTTTTTTTTTTTTTTTTTTTTTTTCCCGTTCCTGCCTTAACCCGTCACTTTAGACCCTACATTCCTATACAAAAAATGCATGTTTTAGTACGCTCCTCCAGCCCTCCAAGTTTGTCCCATGATCTATGAAACGCCCTGTATATCTATTCCGCCGCGAAAATTATGCATAAATTGATTTTCTTTACGTAACTTAATTATCAATAACATGACAACGAGTTCTTATTTAATCGTTAATTCTGAACAACAGTTGAATCATCAGTAATTTTAAGCAAAGTTTTCTACATTGCACACTAAAATAAAAATGGGTGATCTGTTAGTGAAAATAGTATATGTAAGTATTGATGACGAAGGTAGTGTTGTGACGGTCAAAACCTAGTATTTAATGTGATTTATGAAGGGTAATGCTATACAGAAACATGTCATATTTCTACAGCACAAGTGAGATAGATGGGAAATCTTTCAGTTCGATTCCTTGATTTAGGCCACGACTGAAGTATATTGAGGACATATCTCGTGAACGGATGAAATTCCTTCGATTCCTTATGAAATCGAATAAAAGCCGTTCTCCGAGGGAAAGCAGGAATGACAGAAATTTTCAATTGTTAATGATTTAATGAATATTCAGCGCATGAAGAGCAAAATTCTAGCAGGCAAACTACATAGCATTATTAAAATCCATCAGTTTTCCTCTTGACGTTTCTCTAACTAACTCTGTCGAATGACTGGACTTCACTTTTAATAAACTGTTATTGCAGTTTCTTCAACAATTCAGTTCTCTAAATTGAAACAGAAAATGAAGTTTAATGAAGAAGAATTATTGCAGTTTCTTCAATAATTAAGTTCTCTAAATTGAAACAGAAGAGGAAGTTTAATGAAGAATTGTCATTTCAAGCATGCAGCTTAAATATTTTAAACTGGGTTAGAATATAGTTATGAAATTATACTATGAATCTTAAATCGTGCTGAAAATGTTTTGGTTTGGCTTATTTGATTATGGCAAAGCCTGTGAGATCTATCTGCTTAACAGGACGGATGCCTTTGTGAATGACTCTCCAAACGAATGGCTCGTATTTAAGTTACACACGGAGAAAAACATGAAAATGCTCATGAAACCAGTCCGTTCGTCGGGATTTGAACTCGGGTCCAATTATTACTATCTAGTTGTCTTATCCACTCTTAGGCCTGTGTTGAAAATGATCTTGAAATTAAAATGAGCTAACTTCATATTATAAATGCTATTTTTTATCCTGTTTTTTAATCATATTTTTAATAAAATGTTGCTATTTTACTGGGGAAGTATGAAGCAGCATGGAAAATCTATTATCATCCCTATCCTCTTTTAATATTCGTATAGCTACACTAACTGTTAATACACTGATTATATATATCTTCGTGCATTTGCTATTCGCTTTAAGTAAAATGCACTGCTTTAAATAATTTCAACCGTCATTAATTTCATCTTATTCAGTGAATTACTATCATGACATCCCTAGCAGTATGATGATTAACAAAGTTAAGCTAAGTTCGAATCCCCGAGAAGGCATGAACGAGAAGGCATGAACATTGTGTAGTGCGTTTGCTGCATAGGGGCACTTAAAACCCATTCCATCTAATTGTCGAGAAATTGATGGTACGAGCAGAGAGGTGAGAGGTGTCTCCGATAAAAGTAGGAATAAAGTTAGACAAAACCGTTCTGTCACTATGCAAGCAGGCTCCCGAGATCTTTGCCAACGACAGATACAGTCACGGATCATACCTACGATTATTCAGAAGACGATTCCTGTATATCTATAAGAAACGACATATCTATAAGAAACTACAACAATACTACTAATACACTGGAATCGTGATAAGATAGTTGTTATTCAGTGAGATAGTTTGGAATTTGGCAAATATCGGCTGAGGCTGAGGCTTAAACTAAATAATCTGAGGTATTTACTACCACAGAAGTGAACTGGAAAAAGAGAGAAAGAAAGTAAAAGAGAGAAAGAAGGGAAAAGAGGTTCATCAGAGAGTGGCTACATTGTCAAGCAGAGCCCACCAGTAGATGAATGGCCTAAGAATTCAAAATAGTGGAAATTAGTTCTAGGTTCCTATGCCAGCGAATGAACTGCCGCATGGATGTTTTCGTGGTTTCCCCATGTGTAATCTAAATACAAGCTAGTTTCCCTTACAAAGTACATCACGAAGGCCTCTCTCTGCTTAGCAGACTACCTGCGTGTGCTTTATCTTAGTGGATCAAATAAACCTTACCTGCCATGTGCACCTTCAGTAAATAATCAGTCTACCAAACGTCAATAACTTAAATGTTTCTACAATTCATATATCGATCAAAGTAATAAATCGGTTAATGATTCAATGAGAAAATATATTTTCATTTTTATTCTATATATTTGGAACATCTGAAATTACAGTCCTAAGGTTTTGCTGTAAAAGCTCAAGTTCAATGATATCACCTTTCAAAAACATCATGTTATAAACTGCTGACTTTTATAAGTAAACAGAGAAAATGACTTTTTTACTGATATATTACAAAGAATATCCTCAATCTTGTCACTAAGGAAAACAGAAGTGTAATTGAGATTTTCAGCGCCCGGGAACAACTGAAGATTTGTCTTCCTTCCTGTGTGGAACAGAAAAGGGAAAGGAAATTTTATGGATGCTGCTCTCGGGGATAGATATCCCCCCTTCAACCCCCCTTAGCTACACCAATCAGCAGAAGGTCTATTTTTATTTGCCTTTTCATTAATTGAAGATGTTTGAATAAGTTTTTTGTTGTCAGTTTTCATTTAGAACTGAATAAAATGGAAAAGAAAAGTCATGACCAAAATAATGAGATCCTAATAAATAGCATATAGCCTCCCTACACATACACAACATACACCAGATGAAGCTCCATGTCTGACTCAGTCTTTTCAATAAACTTTCTGAATAAATAATTTCGCTTTTAATCATTTCTTCCCATTTCTGCCTTTTCCTACTTGGCATAAAAAATATCTTAGTTTTCATGCACATATAAAGGAAAAAATACAGAATATTCAACATGTTCAAAAATTAGTTGCCTTTGAAACTCTTGAAAGTTTAGCATTGTTGAGCAAGCAGTTTTAACTGAAAGTTATGTCGAATTTGAAGTTTTATTCCTATTTGACATTGTGTAACTCAGTCGTAAGAAATCAGTAGATGATTCCTGTGTCACCAGACCGTGAAGGAATTTCAAGGAAATTTACTGTCCACAAATTTCTCACTATTTGCTCCGAGTCATAAATCTTCATTTGCGTAATCCTAAAAAATGAATTTAAACGTGACCCACCAATTATTAAGGAAACAAAGGCAACATGCAGGCGTTATTAAGGAAACCACTGTTTTCAGCACTTGAAATTTGTCAAGTGCTGAAAATGTTTGCGTAGCGTTTGAGCGGCCAGCTGTTTCAGTCTCAAATCAAAGATAAGGGTGTGTTAATTTTTTAATCACCTTTTACCTTTAACAATAAGAACTAAATTTCTTTCATACATAGCATTTTCATGAGTTCAATAACCTAGAATATGATAGTTCTTTCAGTCCTTAGACTCACTAAAATCGAAATATTTATAAACTGTACTAATACGCAAATTGTAATACAAAGAAATAATATACACTGGGAAGACATAAATTTATTTAATGAAATACATTTCTGTATCATAAAAATTATTCTCAACATTAATGTTGATACCGTTATTTTAAGAATACACAAAACTATTCAATTTATACAAAATATTAAAAGCAATATTTTTCAAATGCGTCTTAACAAATAAAGACTTCGAAGAATATTTAATTGTAAATACTACATTATTTTCTCAGATTCAGATCTTTCTTGCATATTTTCTGTACCAGAGCACAGTAATAATAACACTTTTAATTCCAAATGTATAAATTATTTTAGATGGAGCTGTCATTCAGCGTTGGAGATGTAATATACGTGATTGGTGACGTAGACGAAGATGGCTTCTATATGGGCGAACTGAACGGCGTTAAAGGTCTCGTGCCCTCGAATTTCCTACGTGAGATGCCTATCGAAGAAGATGAGAAGCGGCATGCCAGTAGCAGGCCCAAAGGTCAGGGGCGAAGCTATTTAGGCCGGGCAGACTGTCAGTGGAATGTGAAGTAGATTTAAAGTTATTTAGAATGGGAGAAAGATGACGTTGAATGCATGTCATGAGTGGCTGTTGTAGTCCGCATTTCGCTTTTTTCTTTTCTTTTGTTTCCTTTTATAGTAAAGTATTTCTATGTCAAACTAATGTCAATATAAATATACTTAAAACTCATACAAACATATACTCTACAGTGATTTAATTGATCGGAATACAGGGATAATTTCAAAGTATCTTAATATTAGCTTACGCTAATGTTTTTTACTGTAACTATTATTATGCATCATTCAAGAAATATTCCACTACTAAAGACAAAAATTAGTAATTTGAAATTCCAAGCAATTCTACGAAAAATTTTTTTAACATCATATATTAAATAACTATGTATTATAACACTGAAGTTCATCATGTTTAAGGTAACAATACAAATAAGCGGAAACTAGGTACAATTAAAACGTTATTAAAGTTTAAGCAGACTATCTTTAAAACATCGAGTAAAATATAAGAACCGCTGAAAAAGAAAGCGGTTTTTTTTTGTTGAAACTTGAATGAGATAGAAATTTAATAATACGCTAAAGAGAACACAGATGAGAAAAAACTTGAAAACTTTTTGTCTCCAAAAATAAGCTAAATAAATTTCTTCCCTTATTTGTAATGTAATTTGTCCCTCATGTCATTTCCATTTCAATAAAAATTTTCTTATGATGGTTTACTTTTGTTGTTATAAATTTACTCTCATCAAAGAAAGGATGAAATCACCATTTAAATGTGTAAAATGAAATTCTGATTAATGACTCTCAAATCATCCTTTTATCATTCATTCTCAAATAGCATATTTTATTTTATTTACTTGGAAGAATTCGAACTATATATACAATAAAAAATATTATTTTGCAGACAAAAAATTAAGTTAATTTTTTTAAGAAATGACAAGAAAACTGCGATTTTTTCTTTTATTTCTTCATCTTAAAATTATTATGATGATAATATTTTCTAAATTAATTATAAGAATATTAAGAAAACTTTCAAGCAAAAAGGAAGATTTAGTGAATTACATTTAAACAATTATTCATTTCTCTGAGTTCATTTTCATAGTGATGTAACTCCGTTTCAGAAATACGCAACATCACTATTTTTCTTTTTGAGATATACTTGACACCTAGGTGTGCAGCAAAATGCATCTCATTATTTTCATTTTATCATTTTTAGGGAATTAAAATGTCTGAAATAACTGAGTTTCTATAATTTTTCAGTTTTAAAACCCGATTCTAGTATTCCTGTGATTTTTCAAACTTCTTTAACAATTCCCATAATCTATTAATCAAACACCCTTTCCCCGAAAAAAATAACCTCGCTATCAAGTTCATTACAAGTGAAAAATAACGAGTAGCTTTAAAACATCTCTATGATAAACGATGTCTACTCACTAAAAAACATTACTGATAATTTTCCTTAGAGTTAACAAATTCAGACTGTAACTTGCTGACTCTAGCTTTTTTATTTTATCATGTAATGAAATGAAATTCAACAATTAACATTTTAATTCGAAATTACGTCGCAACCTTAAATATACATAATTGTACAGAAATATTGTATTTCTCCACTCAGATGCTCAAATCAGATTCTTTCCAAATTAATTTGAAGAAAAATTTTACTAATTACTAAGTCAAAAATAAACCGCATCCAAAATTATTCCTCTAATTTAATACAGAATTTTTTATTCGCATACGCAATTTTCTTATAAACACACCAAATCAAATTTGCAGGTTGCACGTACAAAATGAAATTACCGTGTAATTCATTACAGTTAATTACAGTGTGCAAGAACTTTAGTGCTGTATAAGATGAATTTCATACCGATAGATTCTGCAGATAAATATCACTGCTGCCACTTACACTGGTGTGCAAAAATTAAGGGCGAGACGGTTTTTTCAATATAACTTTGTACAAAATCTTTCCAAATCAACACATTTAATACTGTAAGATCCCCAATACGTAAGGACATGAGTAATGTAAGCAACACTTACTAAAAGAGAAATCAGAGGGATAAAAAGAAGCTTTATTGAAAAAGTAGCATGGAGAGCAATGCGACAGAAGGCCGAAACATCCCTGTGATGGGTGTCCAGCAAGAAACATCCGGTCTTTAATAGGGCATATGATCTCCCCTGACTGCTAAGCAGATTTCACAGCGTCTGCCCATGCTGAGAATGAGGGTGTCAATGAGTTTTTGAGGCATTGCTGCCCATTCGTCTTGCAGCGCCAATCGAAGCTCAGGAATCGTTACTGGTGGTAAGGTACGAGCTGCCAAGCGTCTGCCTAGAAAATCCCATACATGCTCGATGGGATTGAGATCCGGAAATCGTGCCGGCCAATCCATACGTTCAATATAATCACTCTCTAAGAGCTGTTCGGCTGCTACTGTGCGATGACATGGTGCATTGTCGTCTATGAAAAGGAACTGCGGACCCATAGCGCCTCTAAAAAGACGCACATATGGAAGAAGAATCTCGTTACAATAACGGGTCCCGTTGACTGAACCTGCGTCGAAGATGTGAAGATCTGTACGACTACCAAGCATGATGCCTCCCCAAACGAGACACCGTCACCTCCATATCTGTCCCTTTCAATGATGATCGAGGGAGGATTGCGGCTTCCCCGCTATCTCCAGATGAGTATGCGATGAGAATCGCTACTCAGACTGAATCTGCTCTCATCTGTAAAGAGTACTCGTCCCCATTCATTGTCTCTCCAATTCCGGTGTTCCCGGCACCACAGAGAACGCCTTCTCCGATGGGCAGGCGTTAGAGGTACACACCGTACAGAGCGTCGTGCAAACAGACCACCACCGTGCAGTCTTCTGGCCACGATAAAACGCGATATCGATCGCCCAGTTGCCTATGTCGTGTGTCTAGCGATTTCTCCCTCTGTCTGCCGCCTGTTTCTTCTGGCCTGTAAGGCAATATATCGGTCATCTGCGGATGTGGTTCCTCGTGGACGACCACTACTAAACCCCCGGATAGCTGTTCCTGTAGTTTGAAATTGTCTCCAAAGTCGTGAAACGATGATGTGAGCAATTTCGAACTCTGCAGCCACACTTGTCACACTGCGGCCTTCCTCCAACTTCCCAATTATTCGACCTCGGGTAAAAGCATCCAGATGTCGTCTAACAGATTAATTATTCGCCATTTCTCGCTGAGGCAGCAACTCGGTGTGTGATTTAACTGCTATACGGCGTGCAATCTCTTTGCCAGAAATACTGATCTTACACCGACAACATGCTTTATACTACTCAGACACTCCCCCATTACGTCTACCTGCATATCTGCACATGTGCTACGGTACATCACCTTACTTAATCTCCTGATTGGTCTTTCTGTCCGCTCTGCCTCTTCGTTCAGCTGATATGCTAATTTTTCGACTTCGTCCTTAATTTTTGCACACCAGTGTATAGAGCGCTGCTAAAAGAAAATGAACATACCTAGACAAAATTACTAAACGCAAGGTGTTTCAAGAAGATTCTACAGCGAAAATTAACCTAAACAGTTAGTCATAAAGCCATTGGGGCGGATGTAAGAAATGAACTAAATAAAGTAGGCTTTCAGACTGCAATAATTTTGATCACGTGACCAGCCGTAGTAAAAAATAATCGAATAAATGCGTCGATTTCGAAGCCGTATGGATTTGAACTTCATTAAATACAAAATTCCAAATATTAGCATTTCTGAAAATCGGCAGTTTGAATCCAGTGTTTTCAGAAGTCTGATTAACAGAAATAGCATATTTTAGAAAATTCAAAAACTTAATAATTGCAGCTGTCTACAAACTTGCATTTGCTAATATCTCAGGTGATTTTGATCAAAAACCTATGGAATTTTTTTTTTTTTTTTTTTTTTTTTTTTTTTTTTTTTGTTTGATTGAATTAGGCTATGGGAAACAATTTCCTCGCAGACATTTATGTTTAAGGCACTCGTATAAAATTTTTAATTTCCTATATTTTCATAAAAGATAACATGAAACTAAAACTGCTATATTCTGAAAGTCCGATCTACGAACAATCATTTGAATGATACTTAGTCATAAAATATTTCTGAATGGCCGCTCTTTTGGCATGGTGGCAGGGAAACCGGCTATCATAGACTTGGGCCCGGTTTCGAATCCCGGAGGAGGCATGGATATTTCCAAATGTATAATAATATCTTTGCGGCATGGGAGCACTCGTAACACTTTCGAGCTGAAAGTCACTTTCGAGAATGAAGGGGAAGTGGAGAGATAAAGCTCAGATCCTCCCCTTGGATTTTTCATCAAAACTGGAGCAAAGCTGGGCAAACTCGTGCTATCAACTTAGATCCAAGGAAGGCCTAAAGTCAACAAAAGGCGTAAACGTTTCCTCTAGACCACGGTGAAATTCTTGGACTGATGTCATTTTTAGACAAGTGAGATGAAGCCATAACGCACCTTTTTGAAATACCATACTTATCGTAAATAACAGATAAAATTATTAAATTATATCGGAAATAACTCGTTTCAAAGTTTTGTGGTAGGAACAAAATTGAATTCTGATGAGAGAAAAAATTTTAAGCTACAAAAATATTCGGATTTTATGAGCATTTAGTTATAATCATAGGCAAAGATATATAATAAATGTAACAACTAAAAAATGAACCTGATATTAAAATACAGATTTAGCAAGTTTCCATTTAAATGAAATAAAATTTATTTCTACTAAATTAATCGCAAATGGATTTTCATTTAAATGCAGATTGAAATTTTATTTAAATAAAATTAAGTAAATGCAGTTTTGATTCATAAACTAGCTAAACTCTTCAATGCTCTAAAACGTTCGGATATTTTAATAACATTCTCTCTCCACCTCTATTTTAAATTCAAACTTAAATAATTCGTGAGAAAGAAGACCATTACTACCAACTGTAAAACCTTTTATTGCCTAAGATCAGAAAAGTTCTTTTTTCATTATTTTCATTAATTAAATTCAGAATTGCTTACATATGAGATAAAAAAAAACTTGCATGAAGACTTTTGGTAACATTTCAATGAAAATAATTATTTAAGTTATATATTAGTAATGCGAATTATCGATCATTTTTGTTAAGAAATCACACACTCAGCAAGTTCATTTGCACATCAGAATGCTACTTAATTTCCTGAAAGGGGCCAGTTACATATTACAGCGAAACTACGTATAAGAGATGATTATATACAGATTATAAATCAAAGTTTTGCATATATATATTGTAAACCAAAATTATAAAGATTTGTGATTAGTATTTTGATAAGTTTGAAGTTTTCGATTTACAGGGATACCAAGAGAGGATTATCAGCACGCCAAAAATGCAGCTGAGCAAGTGGACCACAGACGAGAATACCCAAGAAGTTCAGAAAAACCACATTATACAACAAATGCTGGACACAAAGGAGCTCCGACATCTTCAGGATACGCACCGCCTTCCAATTTATGGGACGAAAGGGAGTTTGAAAGAGAATCTACATCCCGAGGACCACATGTACCACCTAGAGGTCAACGAATATCCCACCAGACGGCTTTTGCAGGACCGACACCACCTGATCAGCACTGGTAAGAGGCCAACTTTCCTTGATCTCCAGGGAAGTCCTATTTCTTGTCCAAGAAATTATAATTTATCTTCAGAAGAACAGAGAATAAAATACGCACCAGACTTCATGATTCCGGAATGTTCACTGCCGAAGCAAAGCAGGAAAGGGATATTTTCATCATTTAAAGATATCTTCAAGGCTAATAAGAAAATTTAAGACTTGCCTTGACTTGCCAACCACATCTTTAAAATGTATGACCGTTCATATATATATATATATATACTAGAGAAATTTATAATTTGACCATACTCGTATTTAATCTTTGCCGACTGTTTACATAATGCATTTAAGCTAAAATTTCATAAAAGTTACAACAACGTGCTTTATTCGTTTTTCAACATGCAAACGAAAAAAACAAGAACAAGAAATATGTAAATGTTGAGAATGAAAACAGAAACAATAATTTTGACGCAATACCTCACTTGGAATTCAAGAAAGAAAGAAAAATCTGTGGGTTCTGAATCTCCTCAAAGAGATGTATTAGTAAACCTTTCCTAAATTCAAGTTCTTCCACTACACGAGAAGAAGAAACCACACACAATACACCGTACTGCTGATTTTTAATTTATTTAATGGAAAGTTTCTAAAATTAAAATTCCTCTCTATTATATAAAAATGTCATCTTTATCTGTGATCGAGTCACTTCATTATCAGAGAATTTCTCTAAAGAGTAATATTTTTAAAGGGCTATGTTTAAGTGTACAGTATGCCTAAAAATATATTGGAAGGTCATTCTGCTATAGTTATATTATGTCAACCATCACTTAAAAATGAAAACTACTATTTTAATACAAATTTTTGGAGAGATTACATCTCCTAATATATTTCTCGGTTACACTGCTTAATGATATAAGAAACGGCTTTTTCTTTCTCTTAAGTTGTTATTCTTTTCAAATACTTGCCCTTAGTCTAAATTTTTGATTTTCCTTTAAAACAAAAACAGAAAACTTTATACGATAATACACCCCTCCCCAAAATATATATTATATATATACATAAATTTAATTACAATACTTCTAAAAATGAATGGTATATTTGCGCACATTAAAAACAAAGTAGCTACGATGAAATCCATGTAGATTTTAAATGTCATCATTGAGCATTGTTAATACTTACATAAAATCTTTCTTTGAATTTCTGTGCATTTTAGAATGCAGTAAAACAAATAAATTCACAATTACCAATGAGTGAAGTATAAGTATTCAGTGTTGCATATTTATAGTGCGTATAAATATTCATAACTATTTAAAATAAGAATAATCAGTATTCCAATAGCATTATTTGTATAAAGGCCATTTCTCTTTCTTCTTTATTTTTTTTTTATTTGGGAGGGAGGGGGTAAGTTATCTCATTTATGGAACAACAACATTCTTTGCATACACCTTAGTTGGAATGTTCACTAAATTTAATGCATTCATGCTAATAAAGGCAAATTCGTTAGTTTTATCTTTTCTCTCTTTACAGATGCAATATTCGTTTCTCCACTGCTTTGTACACATAAAATACCCCGCCTTTATAGAGAATTTGTTTCAGAGGAGAACAATTAACACTGTATCCCATTGAGCATAAGCCCATGGAATTTGAGTACCAGCACTGTTAAAAAAACACTATTTACTGAATATTCAGTTTCATATATATTTTTATTTTCTTTTTCTTTACATATAACTACATAATTTGCATCTATTAAATGTATTTTAATAAAAAAATAATATAATAATTATTATAATAATTTTATAATGAACAAAGAATAGCATATATGTCAAATTGCATGTACACAGATACACGCATATTATGAGCCACAAGTTATGCATTTGATGGAGTAAAATCCGAAACTTTTTTTGCTTGATCTTTTTTTAGTGCCAGCTGAATTTTCTATATTAATAAAAGAAAATTCGTCAGACTCACTCTAAACGTATTCTGATCCACTTATGATAATTTGGTATACTTATGATAAGATTTGAGTTTGGTAACGAATTCGAGGTATACAGTCCATTTAAATTTCTTAGCTATTATTGTTTCTACATTTCTTGCTGCGAGACAATTTGAAATCTTTGTGTTATCAGCAAAGCAGAAAGAAAAGTTATATATGTAGTAATTCTTTTCAAGTATTACATAAGTAATTGTATCTCGGTGTATATAATCCAAGAAACTGCAAAGAAAAAAACTTGAGCAGTTGAGCTGTTAAATGACATCATATTCTTAACACCAGTCTGTATTTAACGAAACACTTTTATTCGATTTCTTAAAACAGTTTCGTGCAAGGTTACTAATTGTAATAAATTGTATAATTTGATAAACTTATGATAATTTTAAGCGAATATTTATGGAATTACGATAATTAACCACGATAATTATAATTTAGTGAAGAGGTTTCTTATCTTTGGGAGTTTTTCCACATTCAGCTGAAATACATATACCCTAAAACTTTCGCATTACCTACTGTAAACTTTTATTTGACTGCAAAAACTCAGTTACACATTGAGATCTTCAATTTTAACTACAGCCTAAATTGTCGAGATATTGCTCATAGACTTTATATATTCGCTGAAAAGCATCAAATGTGTAAACAGTTTGACAAGAAAACCTCTAGCTTCTAATCATTCATGTTTTGCTGTAAAATCCTCTCACAGGAGGCTAGTATGTTGCACTAATATATACGCACAATTCTTTTCTCACATACACATACACACATAAGCAATTTAGTTCCAAAATTCTCTCTCATACTCTTCCCTTTGCTATCAGACTTTCAGATACATTGACGGTTTTTTCCCTTTTACCTAACTTGTACATTTTTTTCATAAGTGCCTTTTGCCGAACGCTTATTCCAACACCATTTCAATTTAGAAAAAAAAACTACGTGAGTGCTTGAATTGCTAATTTCTTCTATTGTGCCTGGTACGTACAAGCAATTTATAATTTGCAATAATTGCATAAATACAGTTTAAAATATTTAACTAATATATAAATATAAATGACATAGTACGCAATATACAAATCTCAAGATTTTCAATTTCTTTAAATACTGTTCACCAGTAGCAGAATGGCAAATGAAGTAAAGATAAAATTATGCTTCATAACAGTTGGCTCAATTTATTTTCTTTTACATATAAATAAGCCATGCAAAATTAGCTCATTACATATTAAGCCATGCAAAATTAGCTCTAATTTTTTCTATTTTCTGGCTACTCGGAAAATATAGGGGAACCACAATGCAATCGAAATTGTTACGGAAGATTATTAATAAGTGGAATAATTTAGAAACTCAGGAAGTTTATTACTTCTGGTGCATTTGAAATTCTCCGTTCTTCAGCTCCTGTGTATATATTATAAAAAATTGTGACTGTAAAAGTGCTATTTCCAAATTTTTGGAAGAAACTTACGAATTGTATTGAACATTGCTGATGTGTGTCAATAATGTAGTTCGTATTCTGCATGAATGTAAAACATATCTGTTACGGATGACGTCTTCTGTTATTGCAGTGTTGCATTGTGAAGCTGTAAATGCAAAATGACGTTAAGTGCGTGCGATAGAATAATGTATATAAGTGGAGAAATAAATGGCTTTCCGTGCACACGTTATTTACAGTTTCAACACAGCTTAAAAAATCTCAGTTTTACATAAGCTTTTCTCGAAACTAGCATTTGACCATTTTAATGTTTATGAATTACAAGCTTATAGCAGAATTTTTTGGCGCATAAGCTCTTTTTATTTCAGCTTCAGATTTTCAGCTTTTAAATGTCTTAGCAAAATAGTTAAATTTGAAAATAGCCAAGAACTACTATTCGGGTTTAAAACACTGAACCGTAGACAACTCTGTATAATGATATAAAAGCTTTTCTACGCAAAAATTTGCACGACATTTTTACACCTTTTACATCATTTAGACCCATAGGATAGCATAGATTCAAATGTAGACATAGAAATGAGAAAGAAAATCCTAAAATTTGCCAAACGTGGCTAGAAACTCATAAACAAGTACTAATGGAATTTAAGAAACAAATAGCTGAAACATATTACAAATTTAAATTCAAGAAAGAATGCCGATGAGTTTTGTTATTCAAACAGACAATGATTTAAAACTTTAAAAACAATTCCAGTTTTGAATACGAAAATGTGCAACTTATTAAATCACAACTACCTAATATTATATATAATCGTTATTAAATTATTATAAATGAGAAAGCTGTGAAACACTACAAACGAATTGTACTTCACATTGTTTTTAAAATTTCATCTTCGTTGACGCAGTAAAATAAATCTTATAATGATAAGAATTCGAATATGAATCATTCTTTGAATCAAAAAAAAAATCTAATTTTGGAAAAAAGTTTGCACTTCAGTAGAGTGTTTTCACATGACAGAGAGAAAGGAAAAGAATCTTATACATATATATGTATGCAGTAACTTTTCACTGCGGTTACTAAAATGTTCCCTCAGATATTGATTTTAGCTATCTTTTGAAAATTGAGAAATCTACTGAAGTTACAATGCTCAAGGATTCTAATCTTAAAAAGGGCTCATTTCATGAGAATTTTCCACGGAATTTATATTAGTAATGGAAAAAAATTACGAAAATAAGAGCCAAGTCAGTAGCCGCAGTCGAACCTGGAATTAACTATCAAATGTTCAATGGTCTTATCTATTTGGTCGATAATAGAATGAAGCTTCATTCAGATTATCAGCTGAGGAATAACGTATGGCAGTATTTAAATGTCATGAGTGACATCACTTTTTTACACCCTCTTTAATATCTAGACCGCATTATGGCAAAACTACGAAAGTTCTAGAGATAATCCGAAAAATATATTCGCAAATCTATTCAATAATCAACACTTAAATCAACAATTAATGAAACTGAACTTAGACTGTATAGGTCTAGAAACCGTTTCCAGTTTCAAAGACAAAATCTTACAGCTTACGGGCGATTAAATATAAAATATTTCAAATGTATTTCTAACATTATTAACAAATTAAACTACATGAAATTACAAAACTGAATTTTATGTAACTGAAAATCCTTTCATAAATTTTCATTCTTAGTTTCAATGTCGAAATTTAAACTAAAACTACATTCCCAATCGTGACATATTATTTTCTATCCCTTTCAACAAAAATAAATCTAAAAAAAAAAGAAAAAATACTTATGCAATCATAATTTCTCAGATTAATAAACAGCGCAGATAAATACATCAAACTTTTAAATCCCCAAGTCCCATTTTCATAATTTTGCATCACAGAATGAGATTTTTAAGGTTCCCTAATTAAAAGCATAGCATTGATTACTGACATTTAAGACGTTTTAGTCTTATCACACAGGAAAGTAACCTAAAACTGTTTTTATGCTATAATATAAAGATTTCTTTTTCCAAATAAATGTGCCTTTATAAAAGCGAAAAACGCAAATATAGAATTTACCAGTTTAAAATTTGGCGAATATGTAACACAAAAAATACGGATTGAAATCAGTGCACAATCAACTTCATGAAAATGTATCAATGAAGGAAAGGAATGACAGATATCGTGAAACTAATTTCATTGAAAGAATTGCTGCCGCAAAAAAAAATTCAGTAAATTCATTACTGCCAATAAATCGTTTCAAATTTCATTAACAAGAATGTAAATATTATACATTATTAAAGATTTCTATCAAAAATAATGCCGAAAAACTTATACTTGCCAAAGGTTGTCTTGGATTTTAGATCATATATTCGATAAAATATTCTAGATACAAAACAGAATTTAGTAGAAAATAACTTTTTTTATCTTCAAATTAAAAACAAACGCATTTACTTAGCATATATGCCCAACATTTAATTTTAAAGGAAAAAATATGGTTAGACAAAAACGTATTTAGATCTCACAGCATAACCGAAATACAGAAACTAACTATTTTACACGAATTTAATAAAAATGTATTTAAAACTAACCTAGATTATTTTAACATATCATTTACATATTCACACAAACAGACATAAAGAAAAAAAATATTGTAAATTAGACGCGAATAAAATTTTTGGAATTGAAACACGCAACATTTCTTTCTCCATACTTTAATTTAGACTGTAAATATTTTGCACGTTATCTTTGAATTTCGCAGATGTTTCATGTGAGAAGCCCATTATAAGAAATGTAGACAACTACGTAATTAACTTGCCTTATTTTTCCCGTTCTGATTGTTGAATACTTCGAAAACTATTTAATTCAATGAATATTTTATAGCGTATTTTTAATATGAGGCGCTACAACTTGTTTGCAAGTTAAAGATATGTTTCATACACAAATTTAACAACTTGCATTTTATAACAAAAGCCAGCTTCACAATGCAGTTCTTGTGATAATATTCATTAAGCCTAATGCTTTCTTATGTCTCATTCGTTGCGGGACACAATAATTGTGATGAAGTGAACTCTTTTATCTGTATACATATCTTTAACTGTGCGATGTCTCATGAAGACTTTTCTGTAACGCAAATTTATTAATAAAATGTTCATCACTAAAATGAAGTTATTCTTATCTCTTTAACCTCATAAAATTGAAAACATTTAGAACTAATATAAACTTTTCAGAAAAAGAAAGAAAATACTCACATTTAAAGCCTTATTTTTGCTTCGGCTAACAACGCTGGTGTGCAAAAATTAAGGACGAGACGGTTTTTTTCAATATAACTTTGTACAAAAGCTTTCCAAATCAACACATTTAATACCGTAAGATCCCCATTACGTAAGGACATGAGTAATGTAAGCAACACTTACTAAAAGAGAAATCAGAGGGATAAAAAGAAGCTTTATTGAAAAAGTAGCATGGAGCGCAATGCGACTGAAGGCCGAAACATCCCTGTGATGGGTATCCAGCAAGAAACATCCGGTCTTTAATAAGGGATATGATCTCCCCTGACTGCTAGGCAGGTTTCACAGCGTCTGCCCATGCTGAGAATGAGGGTGTCAATGAGTTGTTGAGGTATTGCTGCCCATTCGTCTTGCAGCGCCAATCCAAGCTCCGGAATCGTTACTGGTGGTAAGGTACGAGCTGCCAAGCGTCTGCCTAGAAAATCCCCATACATGCTCGATGGGATTGAGATCCGGAGATCGTACCGGCCAATCCATACGTTCAAAACCCTCACTCACTAAGAACTGCTCGGCAGCTACTGTGCGATGACATGGTGCATTGTCGTCCATGAAAAGGAACTGCGGACCCATAGCGCCTCTAAAAACACGCACATATGGAAGAAGAATCTCGTTACAATAACGGGTCCCGTTGACTGAACCTGCGTCGAAGATGTGAAGGTCTGTACGACTACCAAGCATGATGCCTCCCCAAACGAGAACACCGCCACCTCCATACCTGTCCCTTTCAATGATGTTCGAGGGAGGATTGCGGCTTCCCCGCTCTCTCCAGATGAGTATGCGATGAGAATCGCTACTCAGACTGAATCTGCTCTCATCTGTAAAGAGTACTCGTCCCCATTCATTGTCTCTCCAATTCCGGTGTTCCCGGCACCACAGAGAACGCCTTCTCCGATGGGGCAGGCGTTAGAGGTACACACCGTACAGGGCGTCGTGCAAACAGACCACCACCGTGCAGTCTTCTGGCCACGGTAAAACGCGATATCGGTCGTCCAATCGCCTGAGTCGTGTGTCTAGCTATTTCTCCCGCTGTCTGCCGCCTGTTTCTTCTGGCCTGTAAGGCAATATACCGGTCATCTGCGGGTGTGGTTCCTCGTGGACGACCACTACTAAACCCCCGCATAGCTGTTCCTGTAGTTTGAAATTGTCTCCAAAGTCGTGAAACGATGCTGTGAGCAATTCCGAACTCTGCAGCCACACTTGTCACACTGCGGCCTTCCTCCAACTTCCCAATGATTCGACCTCGGGTAAAAGCATCCAGATGTCGTCTAACAGATTAATTATTCGCCATTTCTCGCTGAGGCAGCAACTCGGTGTGATTTTAACTGCTATACGGCGTGCAATCTCTTTGCCAGAAATACTGATCTTACACCGACAACATGCTTTATACTACTCAGACACTCCCCCATTACGTCTACCTGCATATCTGCGCATGTGCTACGGTACATCACCTTACTTAATCTCCTGATTGGTCTTTCTGTCCGCTCTGCCTCTTCGTTCAGCTGATATGCTAATTTTTCGACTTCGTCCTTAATTTTTGCACACCAGTGTATACGCAGTGATAAATATACAGGATTTAAATGGAAAAGAATCACACAACTTCTAAGTGTTTAAAGACTAAATAAGATTAAAACTTATGGTATAATTATCATTATCATTAACTGAGCTATTTAAAAATTTTACGTCATAATGAGAAAGTTAATGTAATGCCATATACAGAGAATATCAAATGGTGGCCGAAATTTTTATGCCATTCTTCTACTGACTCACACATATCAGGCCATTTCATAAGTAATGTCGTTTCACTAGCAGGACTTGTTAAAAAAATGTTGTAACGCGTTTAAAAAAAATGATTTTAAAGACAACTTAGAAGAGAACGTGCAAAGATCTCTCTTTATTCACGTGAAAGAAAAATCCTTTTTTGAACCGTCTACTAAGGTGTGATGAAAATTACATAATGGTTTGAGGGCTGCAAAATTTTATTAATTGAAAAGAAAAAAAAATTCCCATGAGGTATCTGAAACGAACCATCAAGACTTTTTCTGGAATGAGCCGGCTGATTTATTTAGGAACGGCATAAAATCTTATTACAACAGTGAAAGAATATTATTGATTCAAATGGGTAATATATAATTGATTAAATCAGTATCTTTATCTTATCTGTTCAAAACTACTTCCTGGCTAACTTGACTAATAAACAACATTACTTATGAGATTACCGGACAGAAACAGGAACTCTGTCAAGGTGCAAAATGTGCTAGAAGAGACAAAATCACCGATTAAAATTGTCCTGAAATTTTCCAGATATTCGCACTATTTACATCCAGTTAGTTGGGTGCTCGATACACTTCATAATAATATAAACCCAAGTACTTGCTGTGTATTTATCTCCTTTAACTAATGTTTTCATGTTTAGAGGTAATTATTTATTCACTTTAGTATTACGTATACATGCAGCGCACTATTTTGCTTTCGCATACATTCGCAAGTGATTCTTTGTGCATTATTGACAGTTGTGGACGGGCAAACTGCATTCGAAAAATAAAAAGCTGACTGAATTTTTTATTTAAACTCTTTCTGATTTTTGATAGCGATCTGGACTACAACCTTTGTTATAACCAATTACACATGCCTATATCCAAATTTGGTATACTTGCATTATTGCGTCAGTAAAAATGTTAACTCCGTCGACTGGAATCTTGTGCCAACTGCATACTTAAATTGCATAATGAAAAGGATTCATAGCAACTTATTAATGTTTAGGTTTTCTCGCGAAACACAATATTTATATTCCGATAAGTTATAAAGTGCATACGTGTGAAATAAACTGACCTGCATGAGAAGGAGTGCTAAATAATGGTTGAAATACAAGTAAAATTCGGACAAACCTTTTCAGAATTTAAAATATGTTATTTGTTATTCTGAATATAGCAAAGCACATGAAGGCTATTTGCCTAAATTTTAAAAGTTTAGGAGAAGAACTATTAATTTATGGAGCTAGCTGTTACAAAAATTATTTTTTTAAATTACCAAATAGATGTTTTTTTCAAAAATTATTTAAATATATTTGTCAACTGAAGGTAGGTAGAGACACTTAGAAAAGAGCAAAGAAATAAATAACTGTAAATACTAAGGGATAAATTAACTTTAAATTTGTCATGAGTAAGATATAGCGGCTTAATCTTTAAGTAAGCCAGCAAATAATTACCTACCATGTTATATATTTTATTACAAATAATTCCCAAGAACCAAGACATTTTTAAGAAAGAATACCGAAACCATTATTTTACCTTCTCATTCAGGCTTACGGATTTCACCAGTATACATATAAACTACAGCGGATTTCTGGAGTCGCGCAAGTCGCAATCGCAAGGAGCCACAGTCTTTAGTGAGCACCCCAGTAAACATGGTATCCGTCTAAAACATCGCGGACGAAGACGTCCCGAAGAAAACAACGCAAGGCGAAAACGTCGTGGTACAAAACATCGTGGGAGAAAAGAAAGCAAAGAGAAAACATCGCAGTTCTAAAACATCGTGGTACAAAATATCGCGGCCGAAAATAAAGCGGTCCAAAAACTTCACAGTTTAAAAACATCATCGTCGAAAATATCGTGGTAAAAAATAAAGTACCTGCAAATCATCGCATGACGATAACATCGCACACATGCATTTTCAGGTTTTAAAAGTTGTAAATGTATGTTTTCATAATGAATTGGGAAAAGCAAGAAGGAAATAGGGATTCTTTTACTTTTACATTTCATATTTTTGAATGAACTAATAAATTTTTGCTGAAAAAGTAAGAAGGAAACTTAAGCATTTAAAAATTGAAAATGAATAGATAATTAATACAACTTTTAGAACTTCATAGAATTTTAAATTTACATAGTGAACCTTTTTTTTTATAAAGTTTTACTGATAATGTTTTTATGCAAAATACAGTCTAAAACTGCTTAGAAGAAGGAAGATAAATAACTGCATGAAGTTATCTCCATAAAAATTGCTTAGTTAATTATCAAAATATTTTCGTTCACATTTGTTAATCTGATATTTTTTTAGTGAAAATTATATTTTGTCTAGTTTCCGTTTATTCTTAAAGTGACGTTAAGAGTTTCATGTATAGCGTGCAACAAATTTTTGGATGTCATTTTGTTAATTATGACGAAAGTCATTTGCATAGCATGTCAGTATAGGGTTTGAAAAGCGCATTTGTGAGATGCTATCGTCATGCGATGATTTGTGGTTACTTTATTTTCGACGACAGTGTTTTTAAACTTGAGAGTGTTTGAGCCCTTTATTTTCGACCACGCTATTTTGTACCACAAATGTTTTAGAATTGCGATGTTTTCTCTATCACGACGTCTTGCGTTGTTTTCTCCGCGATGTTTTTGCCGCGAAGTTTTCGGCTGTAACCAGTAAACATACCCTAGTGTTGAAGAACAAAAGTTCAGATGAGGTTTGGCACCCTTCTTCAAAAATCCGCAACTGTGTACAACATTAAAGTCTGAGAGAGAGTATCAAAGAGAAAATAATGAAAGATATACATAACTTGGGCACTTTGTTCAGAGTCCTACTTTGATCAAGCAGGCATACTTTTCATCAAATATACGTACTTTAATATCGGACAAAGGATCTCAACATTGAATGCCTTCTTAAAAGAATAATGGATTCCTGTGTATTTTTTAGTGTTCTTGGTGACCTATACCTAGATTGAATACCTGAAAAATAACAAAATATTTGCCAAAACATGGACCTCTACAGGTACCTTTGCTCGGCAGGCTCTTGGAAAAAACGTAGGCATATGTTAAATGATGCAGTAAACAATACTAATTCGGATAAAACTGTTAATTCGGAATTTCAAAATTTATTTTAAAAAAAGAAAGTAAGTATTGGCGCGATGCTTTTGAAAAAAAATTATCTATGACATTAAGTTTTTAGCCGAACAAAATTTAAATAAATTAAACTTGATTATACCTCTGATGGCAGCCATCAAGAGCAGGTATCAGTTTGTATGAGGTTCAAACAAGCTCAGACCTATAATCAGATTTTATCAGATTTGTAATCAAGATTATAGATCTGTTAAAGTCTTCAATGATATGCTCACCGAAAGTAAAAAACTGGCAACTTCTTTAGATGTTGATACAAATTTTTAAAAGCCAAGAAACATTAAGACCTTGGAAAATAAAAAAAAATAAATAAACATTTTTTTTTTTTTACGAAGGCGAAGACCAGCTTATACAGAACGAATAAAATTGCATTAAATTTAAAGTAAATCTTAATTAAAGTAAATTTATTTAAAGTAAATTTTAAAATAAATCTTTTTTTAGATATTGCGATATCATCTTTAAGTGAAAGGTTTGGTCCTTTATCTTCTCATTCAGAAGTTTTTAAATTTTTGAGGAATATTTCTGACTTCAATAAATACTCTGAACGAGATCATTATGGAATATGGATTATACTTCTTTTTTAATTTTAGCTACTACTTTTAGCGAAATTCCTTCTAAATTTAGTGACTTTTTAGCTACTTTTGCAGGTGTATCTAGCGATATTTGAAAGTGAGAATTGGCATCCATAGATATGCTGCTGTTACCAATAATAGCGAGAAGTGGAATTTTCTTTCCTTTTGAATTACAAACATATGCTATTGTAGCCGTTAATAACACAGTTTTTCTCCGTGTCAATAGGCAACTTGATGGATTTTTATGAGAACCATCTGCATTCTTGTTTATAATTGCATCACTGGAAGCTTCAGCTTTTGGTTTTGTCTAACTATTGAACGATGGCGGCACTGTTGAGTAAGCGATGATTATTATGTTTACAATAATTAAAAACTGGCGGCATAACACTTTCAGTTTATTAATATTGCTTTGCGTTTGCCAGTTTGTACTTGCTTTTCGTGAAGTTCCTTTTCAGTGATATGGAAATGTGAAGCTTTCTGTACAAAAAGGTAAGATTTTTGTACTTTTCATATAATTTTTCAGTGTGAACGAAATATGTGTATCAGTGAAAAATGATACACATATTTCGTAATACATGTAAAACATGTAAAATACATGTAATACATGTCGTAATATTCGTAATACATGTAAAATACATGTAAAACATGTAAAACACTATTAACATCTTACGAAATATGTGTATCAGTGAAAAATGATACACATATTTCGTAAGATGTTAATAGTGTTTTACATGTTACTCCCAATCAGGGCGTAGCTTGAATTTCCATAAAGGCATGCTGCTGAACACCAAATGTTTCGAAAATTATATTAACAAATTAAAATTGGAATTGCATGTATTGGAAAGTTGAATATTGTTTTTGCGTATTAATATGTTGTTTTTAAGGTCTGATTTACGGTTTCTTTTTTTTTTTTTTTTTTCTTCAATTCATATTAATGGTCCGCCAAATATAAAATTACGTATGTAGTGGTCCGTGAAGTTCTAAGGATTGACGACCGCTGATCTAGACTCCATCCCGGTTTGGGCAGTAAACATCCCGCGACGCAGAAACCAGATGTATAGTTGGCTCAATTTACTTTAATTATACGAATGGCATTTCATGGCAAATCAATAAATACAAATTTAAATGTTTAGGTGAATGAAAAAACATTTTTGCTCGTAGTTTTCCTTGTCTTCACTTTCCTGCATATCCTATGTTAAATCCTTTGATAAATTTAATATTGAATACACCAAATCTGCAACAACTATTATCTACTAACATCATTTTATGTTTTCACGGAAAGTCTGAGGAATCAAAATACATTTCAAACGAAGTGAATCCCTTCTACCAACAACAGCAAATAATGATTTATGTTTCAAAATAATATATTACTATTGAGCAGTTAGTTTATTGAAAAAGTCAACACTTAAAAGAAGACACAATTTCTAAATATAGCATATTTATTAAATGCTCTATCTACAAAATGTAAGTATCTACTTCTTTATACAATTTGAGTCTCTTAAAGTTGGAGCATGTTATAATGAGCATTAACATCCTTTGACATATGTACCAGTTCATGTTTGGTTTCCAGTATTTATACAAGTCAAGGACGTTTAGAATACTGTAAAGAAAGAAACAAACAAATATATTTTAGAATTAATTAAATATCTCATTAAGTAACAGCACAAAATACTGCGAGGATGGTACAGATTATAAAGATGTATCACACCAATGCTATATCATTGCTAAAACAAATGGTATTTCACACACAAAAACATAAAATACAATTAAATTAAGATTCAATATGCAAAATTGAAATTCTGCTATAAACATTGTTTCTAAGTAACGAATAGTTATAACTCTTCTTAACAGAAGTGTTTACCAAAACAGTGAATGAAGATAGCACTGTAAATGCTAGTAGAAAGCCTAGCAAAGCTATAATTCAGTGCACGAAAGGAGAAATAATTTGCTCAGATTTACCTAAGAAGAAATGCAGCATACAGAATAACACGCAAACATAACACTCATTTCTTATACACACATTATCTCACAACATAAAATCGGGAATGCCTACTCCAGTTATTTATGCACATTAAAACAGAAATGGCCCACATGCACATTAAAACAGAAATGAAATGTTCAAAAGTTGACGTGGATGAAAAACAAGTAGTGAAACACAGGAAAAAAAGCATCACATCAACACAATTACATTTAAAGGAATCACCTCCGATATCAAAGTCGTTCCCAAAGTGTTTACACTATGACATAATAGTAATATCATAATATTCATGTACATTTTATGCATTGTAAGATCTGCGACTAGATTGTGAACGATTATCCGAAACTTCTTTATTAACTTCGGATTTGACTGTAGTTAGCTAATTCTAAAGGAAACAAATGATACGGTAGCGAATGATTTTGCGGTCTTATGGCCAACTCTGTTTTCAAGCTACATACTTAGTCTCGTTTTATTTTTTTTTTTTTTTTTTTTTTTTTTTTTTTGTGTGTGTGTGTGTGTGTGTGTGTGCGTCACACCTCGTAACATTTGTATTCATTTAAAATTTTTGCAATTTTTTTTATTTTGAAATCAAGGGTACTGCCATCTGGTACATAAAATAAGAAATAAAAATTTTTCCAGGTATAAAAAATGGATCGTTTTTAATATTTTTGGTGCGTTCCTTCTGAACACTCCGGCTCGGAAATATCAGGGGCACGACAAGTAGAGAGAGGACGGAACCTCACCTCATAATTTTGACGTAAACGAGACGGAAGGAGTTAGATAACTGGACGCTACTGCGGCGCGATAGGAACGTGCATTATTATTGTTCAGAAAGTAACTACCGACTGCACGCCTAAATAACTTGACATATCAAGAACTTCATCTCTGTAATATTTTTTCCTTCCCAGTTTCACTGGTAAAAATGCGCAGGTCAGTGCGATATCTTAATATACTGTTGCGTGCGTACGGGTTCGTTTTGAATTGAATGCACAAGTCCGATGAAAAATGAATAAGATTTAATAATATCACAAATAAATAAAACAAAATGCTTAAATTTCCTCAGATATTCGTACAATAGTGCAATATCTCACAGTAGTTATCTTTTAACTAACAGAACTTAATTCAAAACAGCTATAGAAAGCTAATCCGCGAATTTGCTACAGTCAACAATTCTAAACACTCTTAAAACAACAACTAACAACTGAGTTGAGAGATTTTCCTCCTTTTTATCAGCTTTTTAAATCACGCGCGAGATTGTTCTAGCAATTTCTCGAAACCAAAAAGAGATATTTATTTATTAAATGTTAAATGCATGTGCTCTTGTATTTTTAATTTTCCGGCTTAGCTTTCCTTTAATATTTGTCACGCTCTGCACTACACGGGAATAAAACATTTTAATTTATAACTCTAATAACGTTAGCTATTTAAATACCAAATCCGTAACACTGCCCCCTTCCCAAGGACTGCACGTCTCGGGCAGTACAATCCCTGGACAGGAAGACAAACTTACAACTAAGGCATAAATGGAATAATAAACATTACATTACAATATCAAACAACATGAACAATAAATGCAATAACTAACTTTAATAAAATCAAATGATATCAAATACTAAATACAAATCAAATATTAAATAAAAATCAAATACTAAACACAAATCAATACTAAATATAAGTCAAATCAAATACACATTTAGAAACAAAAAAGACCATGGTCTTACACTATTTAAGTTATTTACACTACGTACTATGACCATAGTAATGAGCTAATCTGTCGTAATGAACGACTTTATGTTTAGAGTTTAACGACTTACGGATCCGAACCACGACGTCGTTGACTCTGTTCAGGACTGTGTAAGGACCATCACAAGGTGACTGTAATTTAGGCCTGAGTCCTTTTCGTTGAATCGGGTTCCACAACCACACCTTGTCTCCTTCGTTGAATCTATGTCCAGTAGCTCTCGTGTCGTATCTGGTCTTCACTTTCTCCGTCGACAAGTTGATTCGCTCTCGTGCAGAATTGTGCACCACTTCAAACCGGGCCTGGACATATTGCATGTATTCCTCACGCGATGAAGGCGCATCCGTAGGACGACCAAACAGGCGGTCACAAGGCAGACAAAGGTCTCGACCGAAGAGCATCTGGGATGGAGAATAGCCGGTAGTCTGGTGTTTCTCTTCGACCCTAGTATGATTTCGGCATTTTTCTAAGTAGGATCTTTCACATGAGACGTCGGTGTTTCCAGGCAAGGATCCCTTCTAAGGATGGATGGTTGAGTCCCCTGATTCTGAAAGCAGTCTGTTGTTTTTGAAGTCCAAGGAAAAATTGTATTTCCTTAAAAAGTCCAATCCAAGTATGCAGGGATCTGTAATATCTGCCGCGTGATGGTAAGCGGCACTTCTAAACGTGATGTTTACGTTTAACTTCCCAGCTATGTCGATTTCTTCACCAGACGGAGGTAACACAGGATGGCGTCCAAAATAAGTTTATCTTTAAATTATTGAGCTAAATCTCTCCGAATAATGGTAACATTAACATTAACATTAGCATTGTCTGGAGGGTAACACAGGATGGCGTCCAAATAAGTTTATCTTTAAATTGTTGAGCTAAATCTCTCCGAATAATGGTAACATTAGCTCCTGTGTCAATAATCATATTGCAAGGAATTCCATCGATATGCCCATTGATGGACAGTCCGTTACTACTACCACTCACTGTAGAAATCTGAAGAGCTTTAAATTGGGGCTTTTCATTATCTAGCAACCTCCATCCCGCGAGATGACCACTAATTAGTTTCCCGGCTGCTTGCTAGGAGTGGTCTTAACATTCGTGCCCTGAGGTATTCTGCAGTTCCGCCGTATGTGTCCTTCAACTCCACAGTTCCAACATTTTAAGGTCGGTTTCTTGCCACTAATACTTCTTCTCAAGGCATTGAGTTCCCTGGTTATCTAGACGAACAGTGACTTGATCCCTTGGCTCCTGGGCATGAGCAGCTCTGATTGGGTGGCAGTCTCTACGAGTTGCTTGCTGGGCTGCCTTGAATTTCATGGTGTACACCAGAGCGCTTTTTAAACTTTTAACATCCGCCATTCGTAGAGATTTCTGAATTTCAGAATCAGGGATGCCGTCAATAAAGTATTGCAGGGACAGGATTTCCCTTGTTTATCCATCTCGCCTTTTCGGAGTGTCGGGCACTCCGAAAAGGCGAGATGGAACAGTCTTTCAACATCCGTGGCGAGCCCCTGAAGCGTTTCGCTGGGCTTCTGTTGATGGGATTTTAATTGAAGCCTACTGTACTCTCTTAAACACTTCTCCCCAAAGCGCAGCTCCAACGCTCCGAACAGAGCTTCGAAATCTAGCCTTTTGTTTTCGGGAAGAGTCTGAAGGATATCCGCTGCGTCTGCTCTCAAAGAAGCTGCTAGATGTCAGGCCTTAGCTTGGGGATCCCATCCATTTGCTTCCGCCACTACAGAAAACTATGTCTTATATACTCGCCAGGAGGTCTACCCATCATACGTGGATAGCTTCAGTGAGGGACGAGCAGGCATGGGTAAAAATTCAAAACGCTCAGAATTGGTTCCTTCTGTCGCTATGCACTTCTTTAAAGTGTCAACTTCTTTGGCAACATCAGCAGAAACCCTTTCATCAATTTGTTGTTGGACGATAGAAATTCTTTCTTCAATTTGTTGCTCCACCGCAGAAATTCTTTCTTGAATTTCTCCAACTTTTTCTTCAACTGTATCCATTCTTCCTTCCATAGCCTCGAACTTTTTTTCTATTATGCAAGTAATTTCCCTCTTTATTTCCTCTTCACCTACTTTTATTTCTACTTTAACAGCTTTCATGTCTCTTTTAACGGAATCTTCCATCTTTTCCTGACCAGCATCCATCTTTCCTTTCATTTCTTCTTTAAACGATGCTTGGTCAGCTTCCATCTTTTCTTGGAATACAGCAAATGCAGCAATCAACTGCTTAATTGTTCTTCCATCGCTCTAGTTATTGGCATTCAAACCCCACGGCTGACACTAAAAATTGTTGCGTGCGTACGGGTTCGTTTTGAATTGAATGCACAAGTCCGATGAAAAATGAACAAGATTTATTATCACAAATAAATAAAACAAAATGCTTAAATTTCCTCAGATATTCGTACAATAGTGCAGTATCTCACAGTAGTTATCTTTTAACATCTCAAATGTACAATAGAACTTAATTCAAAACAGCTAGAAAAAACTAATCCGCGAATTCGCTACAGTCAACAAGAGCAGTTTTCTAAACAAACTCTTAAAAAAACAACTAACTAACTGAATTGAGAGGTTTTCCTCCACTTTATAAGCTTTTTAAATCACGTGCGAGACTGTTCTAGCAATTTCTCGAAATCAAAAAGAGATATTTATTTATTACATGTACGTGCTCTTGTATTTCTAATTTTCCGGCTTAGCTTTTCTTTAATATTCGTCACGCGCTGCACTGCACGGGAATAAAACATTTTAATTTATAATTCTACTAACGTTAGCTATTTAAATACCAAATCCGTAACACTACAATGATTCTGTTGCTAAATACTGAGTTTTGTCTTAAAGTAATATTTAGAAAGCTCTTAAGATTTCCTACTGCAATGATGGGCTCACATAAGGCCAATCTCTGTAGTCCCACTTCTACACACAATTACTTTAAATGTAAATCCCTTAAGCAGACATGGTTTAAATGCACACAAATTTTCATCTGGTTGCGCTACGTGAATTAATTATATATCCGGATAAATATGAGATTTTCAGCTGTTCAAAGTTCGGCATTAAAGATACTTTTATCACTATGTTTTGCTGAAAATTTTCAATTAAAATAAAAAACAACTGCAAACAGATAATGATCTTAAACAATAATGTTTTTTAAAAGATGAAAACTTACAACGGCGCAAATTACTAGCACACATGTGATAAAAAGTTCTATTTCATAACAAGGCTTTATTCGTATAAATTATTAATGTAGAAAAGCAAAAGAAAATTATCAAAATGAGTACCTTCTTTACAATCCATTCAGCATCCTCTATTGCTCGGGCCATGATTTGCTTTATACGCTCTGGATTAGATTCATCAAGATGGCTATTGAATGACTAAAAAACAATATTAAGAATCACGTTTAGAGATCATACCAAATAACCGTTTAAGAAAATTACAGAACGGAGAAATTGCATTGAAATGTTATATGAAAAAGCCTAATTTTTAATGAAATAGTACAACAACGCAGTGGCTTGCCATCAGTGGACTAGAGCGGCTAAACCTGTCCGTTAACATTTAATATATTAACACTTTCAAGTACATTTTTACCGAACATTCAAAAGCATTAAAAGGAACATCATTTTACCTCTTTTGAAACTGCGCGCAACTATTCGGGTTTGCGCGGGAAGAGGAGGAGCTTAGGTATCGCCGCTTTTATGCAAAGGAATACGTGGCTTTCATCTTTTTCCACAACTTCTAAAGACATGCTCTTAACTACTGGAGTTAAGTCATAAGAAATTGTAATTTTTTCCTCATTCTTATAACTAAAATTAATTTAACTTTTAATGCTATATTTTAGTTCATCTTCATGAAAACGCTCTTATGGTAAGTGAAATAAACACGAATTAAAATATTGCACTGATACAGTAATTCCATGTTTAAACTACGAAGAAGGAAGCGATACGAAATGTTAGACCTCACACAAGAAATCACTACAGAGCGTGCGCAAAAAAGCAACACCCGATATCGTTTATGACAACGCCGTCATCAGCCGTCAGCTGCCTTTCAGAACCACATATGGTCTCGATAGCTTGTCTATTGTTTGTTTTCGGGGAGGGGGATAATATATTTTTAAAAAAAGTTAAAAATAATAACAAATGGTAAATCTATTGCACATGTTCCTATTTTTATCAATACAAAATATTATACCATATTAGAATATTATATAATTTCAAAATGATTAATGCTACGCAATATAAAAAGTAGTCTGTTTTGTCGGCCTTGTATTCTTTTTAGGATAAAATGATTTCAACATATCATTTAGTTCTTATAACATACATCAGATTAATAAAACTACACTGGTGTGCAAAAATTAAGGACGAAGTCGAAAAATTAGCATATCAGCTGAACGAAGAGGCAGAGCGGACAGAAAGACCAATCAGGAGATTAAGTAAGGTGATGTACGGTAGCACATGCGCAGATATGCAGGTAGACGTAATGGGGGAGTGTCTGAGTAGTATAAAGCATGTTGTCGGTGTAAGATCAGTATTTCTGGCAAAGAGATTGCATGCCATATAGCAGTTAAAAATCACACCGAGTTGCTGCCTCAGCGAGAAATGGCGAATAATCAATCTGTTAGACTGGATGCTTTTACCCGAGGTCGAATAATTGGGAAGTTGGAGGAAGGCCGCAGTGTGACAAGTGTGGCTGCAGAGTTCGGAATTGCTCACAGCATCGTTTCACGACTTTGGAGACAATTTCAAACTACAGGAACAGCTATGCGGGGGTTCAGTAGTGGTCGTCCACGAGGAATCACACCCGCAGATGACCGGTATATTGCCTTACAGGCCAGAAGAAACAGGCGGCAGACAGCGGGAGAAATCGCTAGACACATGACTCAGGCGACTGGACGACCGATATCGCGTTTTACCGTGGCCAGAAGACTGCACGGTGGTGGTCTGTTTGCACGACGCCCTGTACGGTGTGTACCTCTAACGCCTGCCCATCGGAGAAGGCGTTCTCTGTGGTGCCGGGAACACCGGAATTGGAGAGACAATGAATGGGGACGAGTACTCTTTACAGATGAGAGCAGATTCAGTCTGAGTAGCGATTCTCATCGCATACTCATCTGGAGATAGCGGGGAAGACGTAATCCTCCCTCGATCATCATTGAAAGGGACAGGTTTTGGAGGTGGTGGTGTTCTCGTTTGGGGAGGCATCATGCTTGGTAGTCGTACAGACCTTCACATCTTCGCGCAGGTTCAGTCAACGGGACCCGTTATTGTAACGAGATTCTTCTTCCATATGTGCGTCTTTTTAGAGGGGCTATGGGTCCGCAGTTCCTTTTCATGGACGACAATGCACCATGTCATCGCACAGTAGCTGCCGAACAGCTCTTAGAGAATGAGGATATTGAACGTATGGATTTGCCGGCACGATCTCCGGATCTCAATCCCATCCAGCATGTATGGGATTTTCTAGGCAAACGCTTGGAGCTCGTACCTTACCACCAGTAACGATTCCGGAGCTTCGATTGGCGCTGCAAGACGAATGGGCAGCAATGCCTCAACAACTCATTGACACCCTCATTCTCAGCATAGCTCACCAGCGGCCGAGCGGTAAAGTCGCTGAACACTGGTAGTTCGGTCCGAGGTTCGAATCCCGCGAACGGGCTGGCTGCATTGGTGTTTTCGTGGTTTTCCCCATGTGTAACGTGTATATGGGCCACTTTCCCTTAGAAAGTCCTCCACGAAAGGCATCCCTCCTCTTAGGCAGATAGCCCTAGTGTGCTTTGCTATAATTAAATACACACTTCTCAGCATGGGCAGACGCTGTGAAACCTGCCTAGCAGTCAGGGGAGATCATATCCCCTATTAAAGACCGGATGTTTCTTGCTGGACACCCATCACAGGGATGTTTCGGCCTTCAGTCGCATTGCTCTCCATGCTACTTTTTCAATAAAGCTTCTTTTTATCCCTGATTTCTCTTTTAGTAAGTGTTGCTTACATTACTCATGTCCTTACGTATTGGGGATCTTACGGTATTAAATGTGTTGATTTGGAAAGCTTTTGTACCAAGTTATATTGAAAAAACCGTCTCGTCCTTAACTTTTGCACACCAGTGTATTTATATACAATGGTAAGATAATTTTTGATAAACACATCACAACATTTTAACCCCTCACCAGAAAATAAAATTCACATTACAATAAATAGTTAGTACATATATTATAAAACCATTAGAGAACACGGCAGTACGCAGGAGTTGAAAACGATGTATATAATAATACTACATACAGCGTTTTGAAAATGTTGAAATCTTGAAACTCACAAAAAATTAACATCTTCTCACAAATAATACTCTCCAGTTCACTCCTTTTACAACTACTATTCCAAACAACTCATGCAAAAGCTTGAGAAAGTTTTAAACAACAGTTTAAGAAAGTATTGTTGCCAACCTAATTAAAGTTACCAAACTAAGACAAATCCCCAAACGTGGATCATGGTAGTAAATAGGTTAATTACAACAAAAGTAAGCGAGGGTTATCTGCCAAAGGAAGGATGCTTTCACAGAAGATTTTCTAAGAAGACGGGATTGCATTGCCGTTAAACCTTTGAAAAACAATGAAACTGTCCATGCGACTAGTCTGCCCATATTCGAATCAGACTGGAATAACAGTATTTAGCGGCAATACCTGTTCAATCGCAAGTACGCGCCTCCTGTAGTTTCTTTGTATCATATATGATCTGCAATTTTATTTGTTTTAGTTGCGCAAGATTTTTAAGATAGATAATAGTTTTAATACTTCAAAAGAAGCACAAATGGGGAAACACCAGAAATTCACCAATAGTCGCACACGTCTGGTCTCGTCGCACTAGCCTTAAACTCCGCCTAGTTTTGATAGAGAGCACAACGGAGGACAGATCGTCTGAGAGTCTCCCAACCCTCTATCCTTATCACCAAATCATACGAGAGATCTTTCGGCTTGCCGTCCATTCTGAGTGATCCCATGCCGCACAGACACTATACACAAAACCTCCATACTTTCTCACGAATCCGAGTTTGAACTCCGATGAGAACTTTATAATATTTTACAATAGAATTTGATATACATTTCATAACAGACAACTTACTACAAGGTTGACTTGCTTTAAAGCTAATCAGTAGTTATTATTAACACCACTGACAAACAATTTTCCAGTTCGTCACTTTTAGATCAAGGCTAACCAATTGCTCTAATGTAAATGTCATCACAATTTCAATAAAATGCACATTTAAACCAGAAGTTTAATCACATATAATAAAAATGTTTCTTTCCTGAAAGTAATTCCACAGCATAGAATAGTTTTTCTTCCAAATCACTACTTTTTATTTTCAGTTCACTCTTATCACGGGTCTGCACATAAAATCTCTCCGAGTTTACATTCTAGTAATCTTATTATAGTGTTATGTGTATTATTACATATATATATTCCTTATTCTTTCCTGATCAAGATATTATGTGTTATTGCAATGTATTTGTCTTCTTGTATTATTCAGTTGTCTACTTACTTCTGTAAGCCTCATGCCTCAGGTGTTTAAAATATAATTTTATAATAATATCGGGAATGTAATTATTGTTAAAAAACATGTATCATTTGATTTCAAATTTGCTACAAAACATTCGGTACATACTGTTCTATAAAAACATACAAAGTGAAAGATTTGGAAAAAATAAAAAATATAAAAAAATACGAAAATTATAGTTGTTAAATGATAGTGAAACTTAAACACACGATGTGTTAAGTTCATATATAGAAAACACTTATAAATGTTAACAGTTTGTACAGACATTAGGTTATTTCAAAGCAGGAGATGTGAAAAATTAGCAATGCCCTCGCGGGACTCGAACAACGCACCTCTCGAATTCGCGTCAAGCGTGGTGACCACTACACCACGAAGGCGTGATAAGAAGGCAGGAGAAATACCTTATAAGTTTCAGTAATGTCAGTAATGTTCAGTAATGTTCCTCATAGGCCGTAGTGTGTGGTCCGTTCTGGCGGCAATTCCAAGGGGATAAATATGTACACCTTATAAGTTTAACATTTTAAACGTACTGGTATGTCTAGGTTGATACTGCCTAACATTAAGAACTCCAGATTTTCACATCTTTACTTTAATAATCACAGAATGGACTAGTAGATCACTTGCAATTTAACAAATAATTTTGCTTCGCATTCAAAATTATATATTGCTTACATTTAAAATTTAACTCTGCACTACAAGTTGCTAAAGTTTTCAAGTATTATACTCAAAAATTTCCCAATGAATAAATATATAAGAATTATTCACATTAATTTATACCATTTGATTAATAATATTATCTTTAAAGTACAATATCTATCCAAAATTTCTA